CCAAGGAGCTTACATTTGAATAGGTAAAGGTAACATATAAAGGAAGGCTGACAGGGCAGAGGGGCATGCTGCTAGCAAGGACGGGGAAAAGTCCAGGAGGGAGAAGTGGGGTTAGGAGTGAAATGCACATGGCTAGGTCACTTCAAGAAATGGTGATCAGAGCCAGACTCACCAATTAGAAGAGAGGACCACATGATAGAGGCATCTCCAGGGTGAGAAAGCTGCTCCTGGCAGCTGGGAAACAGAGCAGTCTGGAGAACGAAGAGTGGAGAGTTACTAAAGCCTGTGGCCATAATGGATTTCCATATTTGCTGTGCCCCTGACTATATAATTCCATTGCTTCTCCTATTGGCCATTGTGAACATCAATAAGTGCAGTCTGCTTTCAAGCCCTCTCCTAGCTTGATGAAATTCAGAATTCCCAAGAAGCACAAGGATGGCTGGAGTAGACCCACCAGCTCATTGGGAAGCATGTCCATTTACACTGGGAAGCATAAGGCAGTCTGAATACCAACCAGCTCCCAAGGTAGACGACTCATCTGCACCAACTAACAGGGAAGGTTCAAGAGTTTGGGTCCCTTTGTGGCAGAACTCTGAAGCTGGTGAAATTTCATAGATTCTGAAAATGTCAGAGTTGGAAGAATGAATTAGTTTATAAGAGAATTTTCTTCCTGATAACCAGCTAAGAGTCATAGGCTTACACAGCAATTTCATTAAAGGTGTACACCTAGAGAATTTATCTATTTAAGGTTAACTTTTATTGAAAACTCAATTATAAAAGGTATTATATATATAATATATACACACACACACACACACACACACACACACACACATTCAACAAGCAAACTAAGAGACCTAAAATTTTACAAAATTTTAAAAAATTAATTAAACTTTACATTAAGAATAGAAATTTATAAAGTAAAACACAAAATTAGAAACAATTGGCGGGGGTGGGCATCATGGTGTCCTGGGCACTCCCCACATTCTTTCTATGCATAGCTATGCTGAGAACAAGCTTTAATAAAGGAAAAATAAAAGACAGTATGAACATAATAATAACTCAAACATACATATTATTTACAGATCTACATAGTTCTTTATTCAAATTAATCCTGTAGGGTAAGTGGTGCATATGTTATTATTCAGATTTTACAAACGAGAAAATTGAGGCCCAGGGAATTAAAATGATTTGTCCAGAGTCATGTAGTTAAGGACTGGAATCAGTGTACTTCCTCTACACCAGTGATGACAAACTCAAATAGAAACAGAGGCCACTAAACTGTACACAAATATCCCTGCAAGCTGCATATTAACTTAGACAAACCATGTATTCACATTACCTATGTCCTATTGCGTTTTTATTTATTTTGTTAAATATTTCCCAGTTACATTTAAATCTGGTTTAGGCTGCACTGGGAAGTGTTGGGGCAGTTAAGTCTGATACCTCTGCTCTTCAATATCATTCTGTTGTCTTCAGTGACCTCCCACCTCCCTTTTCAGTTTCCTCCCACTTCAGTTACTCCTTCCTCAGTACTTTGAAAATCCCTCTTTCATACTTGACAGCCAATAGAATGTAAGTTCTTTGAAGGCAGGGAATGTTCCATATCTGTCTTGGTATCTCCAGTGCCTAGCATAGTGCTTGGCACATAGAAGGCACTTCTTGTAAATTTTAATCTCACTGAACTGCATTGCCTTCATTTTTGTTAGCCAAGTATCACACCAGAAAGAAAATGATGAAACATTTTTCCTATTGTGGCATTTAAAAAAGTTCAAGAGACATAATTTCAGGGTAATTTAATCATTTTATTAATAATGCCAGTATGCTTATTAATAAAAGGATGGTCATTTGGCCATCTCTCTTTAGACCACGGACAATCATGGAGGTGAGCTCAAAGCTTGTATATCCATTGGAAGAGGAGTGTTCCTGAGGGTGGCAATCAACTCTGATTGGTTAACAATTAATGAGAGAATTAATATGAGGGGCTGAACCTATTCAAATGACCTTTGATTGTGTCATTTACTTCTAAGTTACTCCCAGCCTTGGACAATCTATTTAAAATTTATCTAAGTATTAGCACAATGGCTTCCCCACCTGGGTGGGGTCTGAAGAAAGTTAGTCTAATCTTACTATTAGTAATGTCCTTCAAAAGACTGAACTTTTAAAACCAGGACTTTAGAAAAAGGGGGCAACTCTGAATTTTCCCAAATCATTGGTTATTAATAATAATTTCTCTCACTGTATTCACAGGATTCCTACACATACTCATTTATAGCTTAAATTTTTGACACAGGATCTATTTGGGATCCAAGGGTAAGTTTCTTCCTATGTAATGCTCTAAGTGAGGAGAGTAGCCTCTTTTTTTCTAATTATCTAAGAAGAGCCGTCATCATACTGTTCTTTATTTTGAATTGTTCTCCATCAACACTTTCATAGGAGATGTCTAGCAAGCATACATATAAGAACAAGTTCATCTCTGTGTTTGGAGACCAGATACTTCCTTCCCCTCATTTATTTCATGATTCCATTATTGCATGAATCAGCTTGAGTTGGTCAGAATTTTCTCCTATCAAAACTTTATGATGAAGTTAGCCCCCTAATTTTTATTGAGCTTAGCTGTGTCCTCTTCATTCTTCTTGTGTATCTCCATGATTTACTCAGGGAGCTTCCTTTCGGGGAAGCCTGCTCTCTTTCTTCCTACGATCTATACTAACAGGAAACATTCTCTCCTTTGTAAAATGGAGAGCCAAAGTGTACTGAGTGGGAGATAGATAGAATAAAAGTCATAAGCCTTAACATTAGGGTCAGCTTTAGGATCTAGTGACGCTGATGGACTCCTAAATAGTATGGAAGATGCTGAATGCTGGGTAGACTAGCCTGCCCCTAGATAACTCCCTCTCTACTTTAAATTCTACTATAAAAGCTTATTTTTTTTAAGCATGAAGGTTAGGTTGCCCACCTCCCCCCCCCAAAAAAAAACCAATAACACACAAACAAAACTAAGCCAGTTGACTAAGCCAGGAAAGTTTAGGTTCAAATTCTGCCTTAGATATGAAACCCTGGGCAAGTCACTTAAACCTCTCTGTTTCTCACTTTCTTTATCTGAAACAATTAAAAGGTCTTACTCAATGTCCTCTAAGCTTTCTTTCAACTCTCAATTTATGATCCTATGATTCTATAAAGTGCTGTTTTCCTAAGGGAGGTGCTGTATCCCACCATTTGAATATACAGTTCAATGAAACAACCTCACATCTAAATTATCTTTATATCCCACAGGGCCTATCATGGTTATCTTACTTATCATGTGCTTAAAAAAATGCTGAATTGAGGTTGGGCTTGGTGGCCCACAGATATTAATCAGCCTTGCTGTTTTACCAGGGAAGCTGAGGCTGGGGGATCTTTTGAGCTCAAGATTCCTGAGCTGCTGTGGGCTAAGCCAATCAGGTGACTGCACTAAGTCCATTGCTAATATGGAGCCAAGAAAGGCGGTTGAGTCACCAGGTTGCATAAGGAGGAGCAAATTAGCCCAGGTCAGAAAATAGATCAGTGATCAGACAGAGCCTATGAGTAGCTCCTCAGTTCCATCAAGAGGAAAGAGACAGACAGATAGATATGAAGAGACAGAAAGATGAAATGAACAAGCAAATGAATGAACAAACCAACGACCAAATAAATACAGATAAACAGACGAATTCAACTGTTTTCAGTTGTGTCTGACCCCTTTTGGGGGGGTTTTCTTGGCAGAGACTGGAGTGGGTTTGCCATTCCCTTCTCCAGCTTATTTTACAGATAAGGAAACTGAGGCAAATAGGGTTAAGTGACTTGCCCTGGGTCACACAACTAGTAAGAGTCTGAGGCCAGATTTGAAATCAGGACTCCAGGCCTGGCACTCTATTCACTGTGCCACCTAAAACTCTGAATTAGACTGAAGGCTTAATTCATCAATATTTTAGTAGGGGATTATTTGAAATCCAGAAGAAAGCAAGAATATGTACCACACTGGGTAAGGAAGAGACAGAAGTTAAGCGGAAGGCAAAGGAGAAAGGCACTAAAAGCAGATGAAAAACAAGGGCAGACTTTGGCTGGTGATGTCTCCTAGGTATGGGTTTATTCAAGATTCTAATGAATCAGGCACAACGTGCTCCTGCTTTACCATCCCACCCCTCCTACCACGCTCAGTGCTCTGCTACCTTGGAACCTCACTTTAATCATCCTCAAATTCTCCCAGCCCAAGAGATTCACAGTTTACATGTGTGCCCACACTTTCCCATTTCATTTGTACATGGTAAATGAGAAAATCATGTAAATCAGATGGTATCATGAAAGCCACAAAACCCATCAAGTTCTATAGCCTACAGTTATCTTCATTTGCTAAGCAGATTTTTTTAAAAATGAGAACAGTATCAGGTAATGTGACACAGTATTTTAAAATAGCATTTATCTTTGTTGACCAAACAGTGAATAATGAGAAAACACCAAATGTTCTTTTTCTAAAAATGATTGTAAATTATTTCCAATGCATTTAGACGGTGCAACAGAAAGGAAAACAGGAGTTTTTGGGAGTTTCTGTAATGTTAATTGCTGCAATAACTTTAAAATGACACAAAATGATAAAGTCAGAGCTGCCTCAGTCTGCTAACGTATGCCTGGGTTACCATCCTGGTTCTGCTCTTTAGTATTCATGTGTTTCTATTTGACCTTGGGCACCCATTAGATACAGGTGCATGTTCTAAAAAAACAAATTTGCCACTGCAATATACGCTCAGGGCTTAGGCTTCCTGTATGATTTTGGTGTCAGAAGGATCCAAAAACATTTAAGCTGTTTCTGAGACAATGGTATTTTTAATTCATTCAAGTTTTAACATCCTCTCATGGAGGAAGATTAAAAAAGATTACCATATGCCCTGACACATAAGTAAGGCTTTATAAGATGAAAAATACTTCTCCCCCAATTAGGCTCAGTCTAGGCAGCAAGATTTTTTGTTTTTATTAACCTCTAGCTTGATCATGAGGCAGGATGATGGCTCTCACTTCATAGAAGCCACCAATCCAGGAACAAAGAACTTCTGAACTCCCTCCCCCCAGCTTGGGGGAGATGATTGACTCAAGATTGGATGGGCAGAATTGACCTGACTGAAGGTGAGTACCTCAAACATGCCTTACCCCTCTATGAGCATCAAGATAAAAGACAACACTAGTTCTGCAGCGCTGCCCCCCACCTCCTTTTATCCCCCACCCAAGTATACCAGTCTCATCCCTACAATGATTCCACTCCATGCTTTCCTACATTTTCTTTTTGTCTTCTGAGACCCTTATTCTATTGTTAATAAATGACTCTTCATATTAGACTTGTGCCCTCCCCCCAGAAATTCCTATGTATTTATTTTATATTTATTTATACGTGTTTCCCCATTCCCAACAGAAGATAAGCTCCTTGAGGGCAGGGACTGTTTCTTTTGGCTTTCTGTTTCCCAGTGCACAGTACCTGGCACATAACATCCATTTATAAATATGTGGTGAATTGAGTTGAACTCAATTAGCTGTCTTCCCTACTCTAGTTCCTTCTTGCTAAACCAGCAAACAACTCATCCTCCATTATAGTAGACTTCAACATTGTCAGTTTCTGGAAGTATCACTGTACACTGCTGTGCAGTGGTTGATAAATACAGCAAGAAAACACAGGGATAAAGGAAAAATGCTCCAAATATTTTAACCTGCTCACTAGCAAGACAAATATAATTAGAGATTTTGGAAGCTGCAGCTAGATTTAGCATCCAAGAAGGACTGAACATTTATGGGATACCATATGTTGTTGGGCATAATAGGACTTAGTATATAACCTGACCTGCATAAAATTTTTCTGCATAAAAATTCAGATTTTGAATCAATCAATCAACAATGCTCTCTAGTCATATTCACTCTGAAAGTATTAAATAAAGCATTTCCATTTGCATGATGGAGGGGAAGGGGAAACAAAGGTCCTTTTGTTGTTGCTGTTTGAACACAGTATTCTAGGAAAGGTTTATGAAATCACTTTCTCTGTATTTCTTTTTTGCATCAGGCCCATTTTCTTCTAAATATCTTACACAACTTGTGACAGCCTAGTAAATTTGCAAAGACCCTTGTTGCTGCTCAATGAACATTTATTTTTTTCATTTTTTTCTCTTTCAAATGCATCGGAAAGCCAGTATTACTGAGTCCAGCATTTTGCTTTGGGGAATCTTTTCTATAAAGGGATTATTTTATCCATCAGAAAAACTTTCATTTCCTAGTTCTGGTAGTCTCCTATCAGGTCGAGGGTCTCAGGGCATTATTCCAAGTGGGGCTTCAGGGATCCAGACCACAACGGTTGTAATGAGAGAGCTTTAAAGTCAGAGGGTATGGGATCCCATTCTGTTTATGCTTCTCACTACTCGTATGAGCCTATTTATTACCTGTTTGACCTCTAGCAAGTCTCTTCATCCAGTTTCCTTATTTGTAATATGTAAACACTGGCAATAGATAAATAAAACAATCCCTGCCCTCAAAGAGCTTACATTCTACAGGAACAATAAAGCATGTACACAGACAAATAAATACAAAATATGCTGCTAGGTGGCGAAGTGGACAGAGCACTAGCCTTGGAATCAGGAAGACTCATCTTCCTGAGCTCAAATCTCGCCTCAGACACTTACTAGTTGCGTGACCCTAGGCAAGTCACTTAACCCTATTTGCCTCAGTTTCTCATCTGTGAATGAGCCTGAGAAGGAAATGGCAAACCACTCCAGTCTATTTGTCAAGAAACCCCCAAATGGGGTCACAAAGAGTTGAACAGAACTGAAACGGTCGAACAACAAAGAAAGTAATGTCAAATTAATTTCAGGACAGGAAAAAGTACTAACAACTGAAAAATCAGGAAAGACCTCATGGAGGAGGTAGCTCCTGACCTCCACCTGGAAGGAAACAAAGAATTTAAAGAGGCAAAAGTGAAGAGGGAATGAATTTCAGGCACGGGAGGTGGGAAATGAAACGTCATGTATGGGGAATGCAGGTGGGTTTGGCTGGAGCCCAGAGTGGGAGGAAACCATTTGGAAGAAAACAAAAGAAAAAGCCTGTTGTTTTGCCCTATAGAACAGGAATGGGAAAATCAGATTTAATCAAGATGAATCCAAAATTCTATTTCTGTTGGGATGATATTCTGGGTTATTGACAGCATCACAGTATGTATGACGTTCCCAAATAGGACGCAGGCTTAAGGACTGATCTTTGTTTAGAAGAAGAGAAAAGCTTGGATGACCAGTGGTGCCCAATAAAGATAATTGCAACTTTATCAGGCTGCTCTCAAGTCAGTACTGTCACTGCCTACATCTTGTGATGAATTACATTGATCGTGTAGGTTATAGGACCCCCATCAGTATCAAAGGGGAGACATTATGTTTTGACATTGTCAGTTTCTGAAAGTGTCATACTGCACCACATTGACTACACTGGATAGCTTATTTAATGTCTATTTATAAATTAAACAAAGTAGGAAAACACAATAAGATAGTCAAAAGGTTCCAAATATTTTAACTTGAAGTCTATCAGTCTAATCAAAGTAGAGCCAACAGTTAGTTCTGCCAAAGAATTCAAGTCTTTAGCCAAATACACCCATCAGACAAGGTTAAATGCTTAGAATTACAAGTCTATCATATTTGTTAATCGGAAATAGTCATAAACTCATGGGAGAAATACTCTGTTAAATTTGTTTATTTAGTTTTTGTTGTTCAGTTGTTTTGGGCATGTCTGACTCGTTATGAACCCATTTTTAGGGTCTTCTTGGCAAAGATACTGGAGTACTTTGCCATTTCCTTCTCTAGTTCATTTTACAGATGAGGAAACTGAGGCATACGGGGTTAAGGGACTTGCCCAGGGTCACACAGCTACTAAGTGTCTGGTGACAGATTTGAACTCGGGAAGATAAGTCTTCCTAACTCCAGGCCCTGTATCATCTAGCTTCACAGATGGAAGGGAGCTCTGAGGCCATGGAGCCCAACCCCTTCATTTTACAAATGAGGAAATTGAAACCCAAGGAGGGCTATTGACTTGTCCAAGGTCACACAGGTAAGAAATATGAGGAGGATTTGAACAGAGGCCTTCTGACTCTTGAGTCAGTGTTCTTTCCACTGTAACCCCCTCTCCCCCACCCTTTGGTAAGGTTTTAATTTCATTTTAATGTGTCAGAACCTTGTAACATCCCCTGCGTTGGCAACTAAGGAAATGTTAAGGGAAACTTGTAATGTTCCCTTTGTTCACAACGTTCCTGACTTTCCTTGAAAAGAACAAAAATAAGTTTGATGTTTTGAACCAACTAACATTCAGACCTTCCTGAATGACTGATCCAATCAGGGGCAGGCTCCTTAGCAGTGCCTGCTAAAAAGGGTCCAGGGATGTCCTTGGTTTTTCTTAATGTGCAGGGCTATGGAATCTGTATGCCCACCAAGAGACTCAGGTCCTACCTCCGAGCCCTCCTCATTGTCCCTGCACAGTGCTCAATTTATCTTAGGAGGAGCAATCATTGAACTGACCCTGCCAGAGTGTGGACCTGTGATTCTAGGGTGAAGCAGTAGTCAGTCCAACATGGTTGCTCAGTCCATTAAGCAATCCCTTTCAGCTGACGGGGGCCATCTATCAACTCTACTTTTCAGCTGGTGATCTACTTATTTACAGGTTTAATTACCATTTTAGGTCATTTATCCAATACACCCAGATATTTTATAGAACTTTTGCCACACAGTATGCCTGGGTTTGACAACATTTGGAGAAGAGAGAGAAGTTACTTTAAAGAATTTTTAAGAGACAGCTAATCCACACATGTAGAGTGCCTATGTGGAACCCAGGAATTATTTGGGACTCAACACAGAAAGGGCAGGCCCAGAGCAAACTGATCTAAAGCTGCTTGTAGCTGTCACTCTTCTTGTAACAGAAAGTCAAATATTGATTTCCAAGGGCTTTTATGACCCATTTAACAACAGGCTTTTTGGATTGATTTGTTCTTGGAGCTGGAGCACACTTGCTATTTCACTTCCTTCTGAGCTCCCTCTTAATTACCCTTCCCCGGAGATGGGCAACAATTGATACTCAGTCTTGACTTTAAAGGGGGGGAGGGCATCATAAAATAAGCTGACAAATCATGGCACCCAATACCATTCAAGTTAGCATCCATGAAGAGCATTTGGATAGCCTCCACAGTTATCACTGAATAGTGGAAAAATCCCATCGGGGCATGTCTGCTAACAAATTTTCACTAAAGAACATCAAACCAGTTAATTTCTAGGTAATAAGTGTTGAGTGATTCAAAGCCTGGCACAAACTATCTGGGGTTGTGTCCATACAAAGGAGTCTACCTGTTTGGCACAGAGAATGGAACATTTAACATCTTGCCAAATTTTTCAACGATGCAGGGAGCTGGAACTGTGTTTTTCATCTTGGACTCTTTGGACTACTAATTATGCAGCAAAGGGCATAAAGTGGGCTTTGCAAATCATTATTTCCATTAGAAAGGTGTTAGAATCAATTCCGTTGAGGGCTCCCCTCCTATTTGGGCAGCTGTTACTCCCCGGAGAGGGGGCCACTGGCAGTCCTGGATGAAGCGTGGGCTTCTGTTCTGTTTCCCCAGCACTTTAAAGAAAAACAAAACAGCTCTAATGAAAAACACACACGGGAAATGCTTTATTATTTCATCATCCTCACCTACCGAGATCTGGCACCGCTCTGTGCTTCGGAAGACGGTCTCCCTCTCTCCCTCTCACTGCCCCTCACAGCGCGCTTGTATGAGGCCAATACTCTTGTCATTTCCTGTCAGATCATTTCAGAGGAATTTGCTCTTATTTCCTCTCAGCCTCATCCCCTCCCCCTGGCCTCGGCGTTGGCCGCATGCCCCAACAGTCATGCTGTGTTTACTTAACTGCGTGGAGCGCTGGGCAGGGTATGCTGGAAACTCTGGGGCATTCGACACAATCAGCCACTAACCTCAGAATTCTGAGCGGCTGATTGGACTGACCAGCTTAACCTAATGCGCTGGGGAGCATTTATGCCTCATTCTGACTCAGGTGCGCTGCCCTAACTAAGGCACAAATATTGGCTAACAGATTAATCTGTTAGCATGCCTTTTATTGATC